ATATATTTGTGCTCTGGCGAGCTGCATTCAGGGGTTTAACTTTCAAGATGAAGCAAATTGTAGTGGTAAGTACAATTTCCTCCTCCTCCTCCTCTTTCTCCTCTTCCTCCTCTTCCCCCTCTTCCCCCTCCCCTCTTCTTCCTCCTCCTAACACCTCCACCTCCTCCTCCTCCTCCTCTTCCTGTTCTGTGTTAAAGAGGAAATTATTTTTCAACCATTCAGTAAGTCAAGAAAAACAACACATTTTATAACTCGGGAACTGGATGTTCTCGAACGTCCTTCTCAAGGTTTCGCTATGTGAGGATAATCGCTGTTCAGAGGAGGAATGTTTGACATGAACACGGTATGTGAAACACACAAAGATGAGGACATTTTGTGTCCTTGTCACCTCGTCACTGATCGCAGCGATGGGATGGAGTCGAGAAATTAATGAAGACAGCAAAAAGGATAAGAGATAGGAGGGAGGGAGTCCCAAATAAGGTGGCAATGAGGACAGAAAGGTACAAAGGGAGAGGTGACTAAAGGGTGAGAGAAGATAAAAGGAAGACAAAGAGACATGAGAATGAGGAGGAGAGGAGGTAAGGATAGGAGTCCAACATAGGAGAGGAAATGAGGGGAACTTGAGGATGAGAGTAAAGGAGTAGGAATGTAAGGATGGATCAATGGGTGAAAGGAAAGAAAAATGGAAAGCAAAAGATGAGAGCAGTGTGGGATCAGAGGAAGAAGGAAAAGGGAGAAGGGAGAAGAGACGAGGAAAGGGAGGATGGAGCAGAGAAGCAGATGGACGCATGAGGAGAGGGGAGGAGACGAGATCAGAGGATAGGAGAGGAGAGCATGGGAGGAAAGTATGCATGGAAAAGGAGAAGAGAGAATGCAGGAAGAAGGAAGAAGAGTGAAGGAGGAGTGAGGAGGATGAAATGCTGGAGTTGTTGGATTATTTTACCACCCTCAGAAGTTTTCTTTGTGAGGCTGGCTGTATGCTGGGGGTAATTGGTTGTGGGGGGGCGGTGGGGGGTTGGTGGGGGTGAGACCAGGCCTGTCCCTGTGACTCACTGGCCACAGTTGTCAATCAAACTCGCCCTAGCTGCCAGAGGAATGTGGTAAACAAAGCTGTGTGGTCCCAGAGACCCTGAGCGAGCGGTCTCTAAGGGCAGCAGTAATTTGGTGGTTGAATCAGGCGTTCAGACGCTCACTGAAGTCCAGGAACACCTGCAGGTGAGCAGGACAGAAAAAAAAACACCCGTATCTCTGCCTCTGCTTTGTGTGTGTGCGTGTGTGTGTGTGTGTGTGTGTGTGTGTGTGTGTGATCATATGCCTGCAGGCGCTGTGAGCAGAGGTTACTGTTCAGTCGTCTTACAGTGCACCTTTCTTCAGCCTCAGGTTTCACTTGAACACTTTTCATTTGTCTACCCTCAGAGATTTTTTAGTTCACAAACTGCTGTATCTGCAGGCGGCCATCACTGATCCAACACAACACTAGACTCAATAAAAATCCTTATTCAGCAAATTTTCAGTCTAGAAATGTACTATTCAAAAGGTGCAAATATGTTGTTTTTCAAATCATCGATGAAAGAAAAAAATTATGTTAAATCCCTGCCGGCCGTTACACTCCACAGCAACTCCATTGTAAAGGTAATAGAGCTCACGTCCATCGAACATTGGTCATGTAAAATATCTGGGGATTTTGTGTAGTAGAGCGGCTATCCTTCACATCGAGAAAGGAGCCAGTTGAGGTGGTTAGGGTTTCTGATCAGGAGGCCTCCTGGACGCCTCCCTTTGGAGGTTTTCTGGGCAGGAGGTGACCCAGGGGTTGACCCAGAGTTTTGCTGGAGGGATTATAGATCCCGACTAGCCTTGGAACGCCTCAGCAGAAAAACATTGCTGGGGAGAGGGAAGTCTGGGTTGACTTACTGCACCTGCTGGAAGCGCGACCCCGACCTCCGATAAAGCGGCAGAAAATGGATGGATGGATGGAATACATGTTCAAATGTCACAGCTGTGTAAACCACAACAAAAAATAGAATAGAATAGAATGACTTTCTTGATCCCAAACTGGGAAATTGTGGTGTTACAGCAGCAGGTTATCAGAGCAAATAAAACAATATAAGAATAGATACATAGTAAATAAGCACTTAAAATATATTTAAAAAAAATATAAGAATAAGAAGAGATTTATACATTAAGGATTTAACTTAACATTCCTACTGGTTAAAAAAATAAAAATTAAAAACAGCAGTTATTCAGGCTCGTCAACTGAATGTAAAAATACTTGCTGGAGGTAAGAGATGTAGTTTGCAAAAACAGTGATGACAGTGGTACATATGTAATAACAATATAGGGGGTTATATATTGTAAAAAACGAAAGGACAGAGGTTCAAATGGACTTTTTTATGAACTTGAACTAAACACGACAGAAATGTGCTGCAGCTGTATCTGCTGGGTTACAATCATTCTAATATGCACATGTAACTGTCACTACCGACTGAACGGGCCATGGCCAACTAGAGGGAGAGACATTGCATTGCAAACTTAGACATAATTAAATTGTAGATGGTTCGGCCCCTCAACCATATCTAACATCTTCACAGTTCATTCTGGTTTAAAACACTGCTTTCTTTCCCCCATTTGGTCTGCCTGTTTTGTTCCTCTAATTCTTGTTTATGTTGTTTTTATCTCTTATCTGTATCATCTCTGTCATGCCACATTATAAAGTAGGGCAAGAAGTGTTGTTCTTACTTGCAGTGATTATAGTGTGTTTGTTGTGTTGCAGCTCTGCGGTGCCACTCACCCTCTCATGACCTCAGACTGGAAAAGCTGCTTGGTGTTTCTCTGCATGTTTCAACATTCAGCTCTCTGCTCCACTGTGTGCTCTCGCCTGTTTCCTTCCATCACTCTTTGTTTTTGTACATCTGCAGCTACTGCACAAGTTGTTTATTTTTGGTGTAAAATGTTTTGTGTTGCCCCTGAAATGTGAACTTTCTTGGCAGAAACAATGTGTTTCTATTTGTAAAATCCTTTCTTTGGCATCCAGTTTCAAATGGATGTGTTATGCAGACTCAGGCCCCGTGTCTACCTAGTGTTTTTTTTTTTCTTAGCGCCAGCGTCGTTTTTCAATTGTTTTCAATGAGTATAGAGAGTGTATTTCTACCACTTCATAGTTGCTTTTAAGATTCTTTTAAGCTTTAAGTTTCTATAATATTTCAGTATCAAGTTGTATTATGTCTATAAATGTCTTGATGTTGATGTTGATGTACTGTTTCAATCAGTGGAATATGAAGAACAGAAACCACAGTTTCCCTTTTTGCTGGAAGGACCAAAAAAATACCTTATCTTACTGTATCTGGCAGAGTTAAGCCTTTCTGTTGACGTAGCAGGGACTTTCTAACCTTTATTTATCTTTCACTATTAAACCTTCACTCTGACACAGCAGGGCGTTCCAGGAGGACGCAATCACATAACGATGTGAAGTTGGTATATTTTGTGACCGACGCAGATAAACTGATTAGTTGATGAACTGACACAATTGATACATGATGAAACCTATCCATAAACATCAAGATGATAATTATATGTGTGTGTGTGTGTGCACGCTCATTTGCGAATGATTGGCACCCGCAGAGTTTCTGTGTTGACATGCACAGCAGCATTATTAGTGCTCATTTGAAGCCCCGCCCCCTCAGTGTTTGCTGTCCTCCGTCAACACGTGTCTTAAATGTCTTCATAAGAGAAAGGTTTGTTTATTCAGTGCTTTGCCCGCCATCTAAAGACAGCTTTAATTTCATCAACCTGTTTAAATATTTCAGGTGTGATTACACATACCTGTATGCCTTGTGATTATGAAGTTATTGTAAAGTGACTAACTTAGCATATGAAGGATTGTTTAAAGCATCCTCAATAAGAAGCAGTTTATTTGTAATTTTTTCATAAATCTATCGAGTCTTGGACCATATTCTCTTCTTAGTCTGCTGATCTTTGCTTAGTCTGAGCATATATGAGCTTTCAAATCGGCCTTCATGCGTGGTAATGCACATGGTGCTGTTTTAATAGTTGCAGCCTTTTATGCATCAGGAATCCTCCTGCCTCAGCCCCAAACTCTTAAAAAAGAAGTTTGAGTACAAATGTAACTACATGAAGAAAAAGTGAATTGAATCTATATTCACTTCGTCTTTGCATTGGATTTACATGTAAATGCTTTAATTAAAGTTTCACTAGCGAGGACCACACCACAACCATATTCCTTTTAGATATTTAATGATAGATCATGTGACTGATGAGACGGATGAATGTATGTCAACATAATGATTATGATGGAGGAGGATGGACTGACTGCAGTGGCAGAGGGAGACTCGAGACGGGGGGTTCGGTCTCAAGCGTAATTCTGCCCTGAGCTGATCAAGGCCCAGACTGTGCCTAGAGTTAGACGAACGAGATGAGGCGATGAGGAAGGAGGGTGAATGGATGAAAGGAAGGGAAGGGAGGGTGAGACAAACAGAGTGGCGTGGGATGGCTCAGTATAAATTGGCTTGCCAGGTAATTGAAGGTGTGGTTTGGTCGTTGTCCTGCTCCCGAGGTTAATATATTAACTTAATTCATTTGTGACTTAGTACAGCCTCATAAGCATGAACTAAATTTAAAAACAACTATGGCAGCAGATTTTAAGATATTTTACTTTCTACCAAACAGTAATGGTTACATAGTCAAGAGTTCAATAACCAATTTATAATTTTATGAGATCTTATCTTCCATGAAAGGGGGGGGGGGGTGGGCTGGGTTGGCTTTGTTAAAATAGCTTTCTTGGAATACCTATTTGGAAATTAAAACTTTAGAAAGGAGAACAGAAACAAGATGATGTCCGTGTGATAATGAAAATATTTGTGCTTCATCTTTTTTATTTTGAACCAGTCAGAAGTTTAAAATATAAATCTGATGACATGGGCAAAATGAACATCCTATTCTCATACTGTGGGTGTTGCCATGTACATTTTAGTGTTATATGTCAATGCAGTTGTACCGTTAGTGGCCTGTTTTAACTTTCACAGATCCAAAAGGTAAGAACATTTTCAGGGACTTTTTTGTTGTCAGATTATTATAAATACTTTACTGATACTAAATATGTGGCGATACAAGCCAAGCTAAATCACTTTCAACTTTACAAGAGTTATTTGTGCTTGCAATGATGACTATTTCCTTTAAATTTCAAATTATCTCATTTCAAAGTCAGTTCTGAAGTGACCTCAAGTACAGCTTGATTTTGTGTACGTTCCAAAATTTACATCTCAATTCAAATAATTGATTTTGACTTAATCCTTGGAAAGACTTTTGGAGCAACCATAAAGAAGACTTTACAAAAGAGTATTTATATTGTATATGTAAGTATTTTACCCTGATAAGTGGAATAGTTGCTTCATATTTTTCCTTTAATATCTCTTCTAAACAGGAAAACCAGAGAGACCAGTATGAGAATGGATTCAATGGAATATGATGACGAGCACACTAAGAGTACAGTATAACTCTCTACAGTATTAATCAACAATTTTACTTTTACTTTGCTTTTTAAGTCTGACATTCTGATGAACTAAAATTAATCAGTTTCCTGAATTTTGAGGCACAAGGGAGCATCCTGAGCGTCAGCCAATAAAGTGACAGACTGAACATATCGGCATGATGTTAGTTACTCACTTTTGAATTGAACATCCTCTGCTGCCAATAACCAACAAGGTTTATCAAAATAAGAAAATTTATATCATGGGTCACATGCAGTTTGATCATTTGTGAAGCTAGCCAAACGTTAGCAAGCCAAATTAGCTGGGTGGTTGCTTCTTGATGTTATATTATTGCAAGAGAAAGACTTATTTTAACCATCCAGAGCAGCTCCAGGAGCTTTTTATGGATGTGTTGAACGTCATTTTCATCTGGCATCATCCCTGTGTGTGTGCATGTCTCAGAAATATTGTTCTAGCACAATGTCAATATACCATGAATAATTGGTTTCTGTCATATTTGGTTGGATGGAGAAGTTGTTTGTATTTGACTATTGGCACAAATTCCGTAAATGTGAATGTGATTTTTTTTTTTTTAATCATTAGATTTAGTGTCTTTTCACAGAACAAATAAGATGCCCCCTCGATGTACGACTGTGAGTTTTGGGCTACTTCTTGTTCTCCTGTTGGCCTGTAACATAGGACAGCTCATCTATCGTAAGTACTTTGATCGCATTCTCATTTCAAAAGTATAAAAAAGAAAGCTTTTGTTATAGATCATTTGATAAAGTTAGAGGGGCGCTGGTGGCGCAGTGGTTAGTGCGCGTGTCCCATGTATGGAGGCTGGTGTCCTCCAGGTGGGCGTCCGGGGTTCGGGTCTGGCCTGTGGCTCCTTTCCAGCATGTCGTTCCCCACTCTCTCTCCTGATTTCCAACTCTGTCCACTGTCCTATCTCTCCATTAAAGGCACAAGAAGCCCGAAAATAAATCTTTAAAAAACAAAAAAACAACAAAAAAATTGAAATATGAGACAAACATAACTTGGCATTTAAAAAAATGTAGTTATCCAAGTAATATTTCAACATTTATGGGCATGGTTTTTAATGTATCTTTGTATTTTTCAGTTGCAAGTTTCAACTACCAAAGAAGTTGTGAGGCCAAACTCAGTAACCTGTCGAAAGAAAAAGAGGAGCTTCTGCAGAGATACAACACCTTGCAGATGAACATAAAACTCAGAGAGTTGGACACCAATTACTTTAATTTGACAACACAGCGCCGAGAGTTAGTCAACAAGGTCAGGGAGCTGGTGAAGATAGTGGAGAAAGAGAAAGGTAAGATGGTTTTCTTAAACGTTTAAATAGTCAGTCTTTTAGCATTTGATTGATATTATGTCTGTTTTCACTATTCAGGCGGGGCTTGTCAGACAGACTGGAAGAAATTTGGTGGCAGCTGTTACTATGTTTCAACTGTGAAAAAAAACTGGACTTCAAGCAGACACGACTGCCTCACCCAGGGAGCTGATCTGACCATCATTAACAGCAGGGAGAAACAGGTAAGACAGAAAGAAAGAAAGTGAGAAACAAAGGCAAGGCACATTTGTGTGTAGAGCACCTGTCAGGAAGGGGGGGGGGGGGTTGGGACGCAAGTGCGGACCCAGGGGTGTCTCAAAGTTAACCCAGAAGGATAACCACAAAAACACAATAGATTGGAAAGCAGGGAAAAAAACAAGAAAACTGTATAGAGCCACAACAGGCTTCCTAACCTAAATAATGCACCGAAAAGGATTAACTAAACCACTGATGCCAAGCAGCTGACTCAAAACCAAAATTGTCCAGAGACCCAGAAAACATAAAACAAAAAGCAAAGGCTGCCAGGGAGACCTTTCATAACACAAAAGGCTGGAGTAGACACGAAACTATCCAGCACCCCAAGTTATACACTGGGAGACAGGCAATGGAAATCTAATGCAGAAAGTTCTTAGTTGGTGTTTATAGATACACACAACCACTCCAGACACCAAAGGGAAACCTCTCACTACCTCTGAAGGTGAGATAATGAGGCAGCACAGAACACTGGAGACTCACAGTATATAAAAACTCCCCACACCTGAGCTCTATCAAAGCCAATCAGTGCCACACACACCTGATTGCAATGAGTTGATTCTCTCACCACTCTCACTGAGCAGAAAGAGTGAGTGCCCTCACAGCACCATTCATACACAGAACAACTCAAGGTGCACAGTTAAAAAAAACAGAGTATTACAACTTTATTGAGTAAAAGTAAGATATTCAAATACAACATAAAATATTAGCCCAAAACCACTTCTACATGATTGAATACAAACAACACTTCTGCTTCGGCCTAAGTCTTCTCGTAAGGTCGTTTTCTAAAACACAAAATGTAAGAAACGCTTTTTCCAGTCAAGGTGTATAGAACAATGGCGGCCTATGCGTGAATTTATGTTTTCTAATTTTCTCAAACAGTATGAACAGTTTGAAAATGTTTTTTTTTTTTTTTTTTTACAACATATAGTTTTTTGTTTCTTTGAATCTCATTCTGTTTTATTTCAACAGTCAAATGCGGGTCATCGCTTTGTCTGACACTTATTCTGCAGCAGTGGTTTCAGGCATTAAAACTAAGATTTAAGAAAAGATCAGTCTTGATGCTGATTGGTCTCGTTTGCTTTTGACGATCATAAAGAGGCGTCAGGAGCTTTAAATGAAGAGACTTCGGTAAAAGATGTGATGAACGTATGAGAAAGAAGCAGTAAATTAAAATGTATTGAGACCTGTTTTAAAGAAAGCAAGAGTGTGAAGTTTTACATGATTAAAGTTTGGATCATTCCTGTCTTCTCCATGTGTTGTACCAACAGATATTTGTCAACGGGTTGCTGGGGTTGGACATAAATGCCTGGATCGGTCTGACTGACAGTCTTCAGGAAGGGACTTGGATGTGGGTGGATGGGACCCCCGTCACCACTACGTAAGTTTTAACTGCAGACTGTATGTTTGCCTTTTTCACCACAAATCGAGTACATATGGCTGTAAGACTTGATCTGTTGAATCAGGTAATATACTGTTGGACTAAAGCCTTCCATACATTAGAAGACTTAAGAAAGACTTTAAAACATTAACGTCTGACACCCTCTCGTTGTATCACTGACTGGAGATCTTGCAGGGTCTAACTGCTAGGCCACAACTAGATTCCTTTTGAAATTATTTCCTATCATGCACCTGGTTGAAATGTACAACTTTTGATCTGAAAGCCAAAAAGGAGAAGCTGATGGAGTGATCAAGAATTCCTTGTTGACGTTTGATCCTGTTTGTACCAAAGAAGACGATTAAAAACCGAACAACAGGCACAGTATGAGATTTTTCACACTTAAATGTAGCAGAAATCAAGAATATCCTCTGAAAATAACTCTGTGAGTCATGACTGTCTACAATGGGTGTAACACCCGAGTCCCACTGTCTGTGATGCTTTCAGAGTTTTCAGAGTCCTATCTTTAGTTTGTTTACATCGCCGGGACGGCCGGCTGACCCTCCCCTCGTGTATAAAAGTTGTTTAATTGAGGGACTAGAGAAAAGAAGAATAACATACTGTACTCACTGCTTAACTGTGTTTCTAGATCACGCTCATTTCAGGTAAATTTACATGCAGTGTGAAGATACCAGCATAATAAAGATCGCTAGCATTAGCATGCTAACACAACAATGCAGCGCGAGTTGTTTTGGTTTCATGCTGGTGCTCAAGGGCGACATCTGCTGGATCAAAAAAATCGCCTTCTGCCTTTAAGTGAACCTATCAAGGTCGCACCAGTTACTGTCCACCTTTTTCAATTTCTTCATTCAATCATGTCACAAAGGGGAGGATCTCTCAAAGAGGCGTTTCTGCTCTCTTCACAACTCCACCAGTTTCTCCCCCCACAGTCCCCAAGAGCTGCACGTTCCTTTCCCTTCCGGCCATATTTACTAGTTTGCAGCTTCCTGTTTGGGCAGGCGAGATCACTCCCATTGGTTGTTGACAATGGTCACTTCATTGAACAACACAATTTGCATGAGGCACAACTTAAGACCTGTGATTGTATCAAAAATGTTTGATTTTATAGCAACGCAAAGACGAGAAAAACACTGCCTTAAAACAGCTTGGTATGAGTTTTATGACCACCTTGCATCAAACGATAGGGATCAGAAGAGCGCACCCCAACTCTAATTAAACTCTTCTGATTTTATTCCGACTATGGAAATCTGTCTGTGACCTTGAAATTGCTTGAAATTCTGTTTGGTGTAGGACCAGCACAAGACCTTACACATCAGTTATTTTTATTTTGCCAAAAATATAAACAAATTTATAATATATATAATAATATAATACATTTTTGCAATGACGGTAGGACAACTATATATATATAATATATAAAATACAAAATATATCTAATGTACAACATGTCTGGCATGAGAGAGGACAAACAGTTTATTTTTCTGATTTCTTTCACATCAGGTACTGGCAGGAAGGGCAGCCCAACAGCCACGAGGGGAACCAGGACTGTGGAGAAATAGTGCAGTTGGGACAAGTGGGAGCCTGGAATGATGACGGGTGTTTTGCTAAAAATGTTGCCGTCTGTGAAAAATAATGAATTTAGGATCGTGGGAATGTATATCATTTATGTTTAAGCCTTTGTTATATTCTGCATTCAATTATTGAAAAGTCCAAAACAAAAAATTGCATTGTTCCTGCTAACTGTCTATCCCTGCATATATCTTGACAACACAAACTGCTTCATATTTGGTCAGATTCTCGTAAACTTTTTGCTTCATAATGTAGATAATATTCATAATAAATCCTCATAGAATCGATTGATTGATTGATTGATTGATTGAAATTGAAAATGCACATTTACTCCAGTTGGAGAAATAAAAACTTCCTTGAGGTAATGATAATGGGAAGCTCTAAAATCAATTTAAAGGTCTTTATCTTTAGAGAGAATCCCTGGACTTGAGGAGAGGGGGGGGAGTGAAACGATGAGGGCTGTAAATATCTGGATCTGTGAAAATAAAACCCCAATGATTGACACAGTTAGTGATGGTGTGTGGATTTGGACTGTGGTTATAAATTGCTTAAGCGATGTTTAAGTCTGGTGCTATTGGATTGGATTGTACAACTTGTGATATTCTATTTAACTGCAGTGGGGGCTGGTACATGGTTCGGCGGGGTGGGGTGGGGGGGACAATTGCACAGATGGACCGGGACGTATGTCTACATATATATATATGTACATATGTTTGGGGGGCCCAAAGCAGAAGTGGGAAATGTGCAAATTTTGCAATGACGATAGGACAACTCCCTAAGTGTGCCCCATCTGACAGCACCCACTTTCGTTGCCCTTCTGAACACTGGTTGTAGGGCACGGGTTAGAGGCCCCCCCAATAGATTTTTGCCTATAGGGCCCCAACAGACTCTAGAATCGCCACTGGTTGTGAGTCGCACACGATCCACTCGTACAGTGAGAGATGACATTTCACCTCCACAATCTAACAGTGCATGCCAGGCATTAGAAAACTTTGAAATAGCACAATATATCTGTGTGTTGGACAAACTATTACAACAGTCTTACAAAACTACCTCAACTTCCAAAATGACTAAAGCATTATATCACCATGTCTTTGATGAAGGCAAACAGACACACAATAAAGTGGGATGGTTAGCATATATTACAGAGCTGCTGCGGTGGATTGCATCATTTCACACAGGTGTGGGAAGTAAAAGTCGTAACAAGGGTTCCGTAGGTGAACCTGCGGAAGGATCATTACCGGTTTGAGATCCCCGCACCCGAGGCCGCGTGGCCCCTCGGTGCTGGCGGCGGATATGTCAGAAAAAAAACATTTGTCTCCCTCCTTACATTTGTCTCCCTCTACTGTGTCCACCTCCATTTATCACCCTGTTGCACCCTGAAACAGATGACACAGCACCAACCAATACCAAGTGCTGACAAAGCACTTTGCAGCCACACCATGCTGCATGTTACATAACAAAGAAGAAGACCTGGCACGTTTTTACAATCACTAACATGTGAGCGGTACATACAGCAGATGTATTTAGCCGGCAGAGACACCAAGCTCTGGCATGTGGATCATTCTGGGTGTGGTGGCGGTTGCATCGAGTGCGGCTGCTCTTGAAGGGAGGGGGGCGTCTCAACCATTCATTGCACCAAGCCTTTTCATTCCCCCTGGTGATGAATCTGATCCAAACCGTCTGTGGTGGAGTGGTGAGATGGGATTCCCCCCAGGACGTAGGCGGGTGGTGTGGTAACGCTTTAAGCCGCTTGACTAAAAATAAAAGATCAAGGCGCCTCAAATAGAAATGTTGGTCTGGTTAGACTTACAGAGCATGAAAAGATGTTTGCATGTGACCTTCTGTATTTTATTACTTTACTTTTCCAAGTAGGCTAAAGCACAGAGCAACAAATTACCATTCTAACAGTTGGAGGATAATGTGAGTAAGTTCTCCTTTTTCTGTCTAAACTGGCTTTGCTCAGAAAGTTGTGGACTTACGTGCTTATGATAAGTAAAAATCCTATTGTACTATGACGGTTAGGTGAGGTGACTTCATTTGCACCCATAGGTAGATTTGTTTTCCAGCGAGTGAGTCGGCCTCCTTACACAATTAACAGCACAGGACAAGACATGATGAATTCAGATTCAGACAACATCCCAGGAGGGCAATTCAGTTTCACAGGCTAAAGAGTCATTGAAAGAAGCCGAGACAATAATCAGTAAAACAAACAGTCACGGCAGCATTATCATTCTTTTAGCTGCCTTAGGCACAGGAATAATTGTGCATAGACAGTTCTCAAGTCTAAAAAGGTAACCCTTTGTATAAAGCATCTGTCGAAACAACAAGAATCAAACCTATATAGGAAAGAAATTGTCCTATAAATCACTATAAACAGGTAATTAAAACAAGTTAACATGTGTTACAGTAAAATTTGCCATGAGTAAAAAAAGGGATAAAAGATCCATGAATACTCAAATAATACATAATTTGCTCTTACAGCTTTATCTTGTTGATGTCTCTGTTGGCTGCTGGAACAAATCTGATTTTGTGTCGCTTGGTATAATTGGATGGTAATGTATACCTACATCCAGACATGATAAGATTAAATTCACCATTTAAAGGGTCGGATTTAAAAATACATATTTTTAAGAATATATTCAGCTATCCTCTGCAACTCCCTGGTGTACAGAGATTCTGGTTTCATCTGTTACCCTCCAATCAGCCTAGTGGACCATTTTAGTATTCAGTGTATTCTATATCCTGCTTTATACACAAACTTATTGCACTAATAGCAACATTCAGGAGCTTCCTTCATGCTGTTTGGGATGTACTGACTTTGAAGGTATAGCTACTGCAAGCAAGGCTAACCTCCCTATGATACTTTATTAAAATAAGCTATTTGGACAAGCATGCTAATGTTAACACTGAATGCAACAAATGTTTGTCAAGGATTGATAACGAACTGGACCCAAGTGCAGATGCTTAAAAAAAACTATTTATTTTAACGAAAAGGCTCGATGCAAAATGCAATACAAAATCTTACAAGAACAAAATCCAAAAAGGGAAAACAAGGAAACACTAGAAACTCTGACGTTGACAGACAACTACTATACTTACAAACAACAATGAACTGACACAGAGGGCAAGAAACACAGGGACTAAATAAACATGGGGTAATCAGACACAGGTGAGACTAACGACACAGGTGAAGACAATGAGGGCAATTAAACTGGAGAGAAACACACAGAGGCAGGACAAGAAACACTGAGGACAACTATGACAAATACATGAAACACTGAAGACACTGTTAAACATCAAGACACACTAGAACAGAGAGGGACACAAGGATTTGAAATGACAAAATAACACTGGAAACACTGAAGACTAAACTAGGAAACACACAAGGGAAAAACCAGCAACACTAGGGAAGAACAGGAGAAATCAAAACATGGAAACCGACACGCCGAAACACAAAACCAAACAAGACCAAATCATGGCAATGTTATCTTTTACCATGTATTTTTTGGACCCTGGTGATACGTATGAAATCTCTAAACTAGGGTGTTTAAAAGTGTAGTTTTTATTGATCAAAGAAGAGTTCTTTCACATTGTAGGCTAAGAAAGATAGCTTCAGTCCAAATTCTAGTACACTTTCGTATGTTATGTTTAAATTCCTTCTAACCTATATAGGGTTGGTGGAATCCATTATTTAAACAGTTTAGAAATGAAGTCTTGATGGAATAAATTTCAGCTAGCAGACTCATTTGCACACTTAAGCATTTTTTTTGGAAGGTAAAAAGACAAATCATGTTGTACCAGTATCATGTAATCATCATAGTGTTGTACAGTACATTATTAATGCCATACATACATTCAAATTTTGCAAGTACTGTATATGCCTTGTAACATATGCCATTGCAAGTCATTAGTAAAAAAACATTTGAATAAATCAGAGAGATTTCACTTTGCAAACATAAAGATATTCCAAAGTATTCAACAGAATACTTTATGACTGCATCTGGACTGATTGCAAACATTGATTGCAAAATCTGTTTTTAAACTACAGTTTGTGTTACCAAGATTACGCAAGTAAAGACAGAAGACAGAGAACAATACATTTTTGGTTTTAGTCTTTTCAATTTGATTTGTTGACGATGAACAAATTCAAAAAATTACCAGGTCAAAGATCAACAAGCTATATGTTCACACAATCATTAACTGTAAGTTACTTGGTTCTTATTTTTCACAGACGCAGACATTAGTAGCCGAACAAATTTCATCGTTCCAGCTTCCCCCTGTTGCTGACTGCCAAAATTCTACACAGTCCTGGTCCCTCTCCTGATAGTTGTTAGGCTGCCCCACACCCCAGAACCTGGTGCAAAAAAATATCAGAGAAATATACTGTATCATCTCTCATCTCAGACATGTTGATCCTGGCCTAATGTGTTACAATGTATTTTTAACCAGTATTATTAATTAAAGCTCCATTTGCATAGAAATTGGTTCTTTAAATATATTTTAAATTAAAACGTTTGAAAGACCCAATCACCACTCTTAATCTCAATCTCAATTTTTTAAACATATTCACACAAAAAAAATATTCTTTTAAAAATGAGTTGGGTCATAAGACCTTTCTGAATCCTGTATGAATTGTGCAGTATTTTCATTTGCTGCTACCATGACATGCTTTTAATAATACAATCCAATTATATGAATGGTGAAAATGAGGGTGTTTGCAGAGTTCATCTCAACACTAAATTAAATGATGATTAGTGAAAGAACCTGTCCAGTTTTACTGCTGGTAAATGTCATGATCCAATAAGATTGAAGTTCCTTGCAGTATAAACTTACGTCGTGGTGACAAGGGTCCCATCCACCCACCTCCAGGTCCCCTCTGTAACGCTGTCAGTCAGACCAATCCAGGTATCTTCGCCCGATCCCAGCAACCCATTGACAAATACCTGTTAAAAGAACACCCACAAAATGATACACAGTTGTACAAAATTAGATTAGTCAAAATGCAATTATTGCAAAATGTTCATTCTATTATCACATCCCTTGCCTCAGACTTCCTGCAAATAAAGCTATTTTTTCTAAATGACATTAATAATTAATAGCATACATTAATTACACCTAACAGATTCATAACAAAAACATAAAAACTGAAGCAAACCTGCATTTTTTTATTTAAAACGCTGGTGTTGCATTAATCACCTCCTTCAACCAGATTGTTTAAACTTGTAACATAAACCAAACTTATCAGACCTGTTTTTAGCACAATTTTAAAAAAAAAATGTTATTTACTTTTATGCTGCCTCTGCTCCATTAATTAATATATTACTATTACAGGGCTTTTAAATAGGACATTTTTGCATAGCAATGGTCTGTTTATCGTTTAAAGCAGACCATTGCTTTGAAGTAGAGACTGTTGCTATGAAGAACAGACTGTTGTTTTGAAAGAACAGGCCGTTGCTATGAAGAATAGACTGTTGCTATGAAGAACATACAGTTGTTTTAAAAGTACAGACCGTTGCTATGAAGAAAAGACTGTTGCTATGAAGAACAGACTGTTGTTTTGAAAGAACAGGCCGTTGCTATGAAGAATAGACTGTTGTTTTGAAAGAACAGGCCGTTGCTATGAAGAACAGACTGTTGTTTTGAAAGAACAGGCCGTTGCTATGAAGAACAGACTGTTGTTATGAAGAACAGACTGTTGTTTTGAAAGAACAGGCCGTTGCTATGAAGAACAGACTGTTGTTTTGAAAGAACAGGCCGTTGCTATGAAGAACAGACTGTTGTTTTGAAAGAACAGGCCGTTGCTATGAAGAATAGACCGTTGCTATGAAGAACATACAGTTGTTTTAAAAGTACAGGCCGTTGCTATGAAGAAAAGACTGTTGCTATGAAGAACAGACTGTTGTTTTGAAAGAACAGGCCGTTGCTATGAAGAATAGACTGTTGTTTTGAAAGAACAGGCCGTTGCTATGAAGAACAGACTGTTGTTTTGAAAGAACAGGCCGTTGCTATGAAGAACAGACTGTTGTTATGAAGAACAGACTGTTGTTTTGAAAGAACAGGCCGTTGCTATGAAGAATAGACTGTTGTTTTGAAAGAACAGGCCGTTGCTATGAAGAATAGACCGTTGCTATGAAGAACATACAGTTGTTTTAAAAGTACAGGCCGTTGCTATGAAGAACAGACTGTTGTTTTGAAAGAACAGGCCGTTGCTATGAAGAATAGACTGTTGTTTTGAAAGAACAGGCCGTTGCTATGAAGAACAGACTGTTGTTTTGAAAGAACAGGCCGTTGCTATGAAGAATAGACTGTTGTTTTGAAAGAACAGGCCGTTGCTATGAAGAATAGACCGTTGCTATGAAGAACAGACTGTTGTTTTGAAAGAACAGGCCGTTGCTATGAAGAATAGACTGTTGTTTTGAAAGAACAGGCTGTTTCTAGTAATGATGCTCCAATCAAAGACTCTGGAGGACTGACTGAAATGTTGTAAGAAAAATTCAGTCTACAATTCATTTAGCAGACTAAAGTCTTGTGCCATGCATCAGTGGGAAAGTTCAGTTTAATGGGAGTAAAGCAGCTTGGTAAGCTCATTTTAAGAAGGCTACAGGGTTACCTGTTGCTGCAGATAAGGCTCAAACTGTGAGTCTATCAGACTATTCTTGTTGTAAATAATATAGACACAATTTTAGATCAATATTTAAAGTCGATTTATGGATGACTGAATTAGCTGGGTAATATTCAGTGAGAGGGTTGTAATAGTGAAGGAAGATCACCCTGTCAGGGTTTTCCTTCTATCAATAACCTGCACACTATCCTAACAAGAAGTATAACATGATATTCACAAATATAAGATATTCTTTCTTTATTTCTTCCTCACCTGTTCATCCCTGCTGTTTATGATGACCAGATCAGCTCCTTCGGTGTTGCAGTAGTCTCTGCTTGAGGTCCAGTTTCTCTTTTCAGCTGTTAAATAGTAACAGTTGTCACCAAACTTTGTCCACCTTGACTGACAGGGCCTTTCTATATAAATACAAACACAGTGAGACCCAGAATATCACACTTCAGTTAAAATACCAACTTTAAAGTTAAAATGAAATCAAATTTTATGAGAAAAATCTTACCTTTGACTTTACTGATCTTCTTCTCTAGCTGATCTTTAACTGCTGATAAACTCCTGTAATTGGTCTGTAGCTGATCTTTCTCCCTCTGCAGAGTATTATAACTGACTTGCAATGTTTCTTTGCTTTTTTGCAACTGGTCCTTGTCACTCTTCAGTGAAGTGTAACTCCTCTGCAGCTCATCCCTGTTTGTTCTCATCGTGTTAAACTGTGTCTGTATGTCATTGTAGTTTGTTTGTAGCTGATTCTTCTCTTGTGTTAGGGTGTTGTAACTTTGCTGCAGCCGGTCTTTCTCTTTAATCAAGTCACCTTGAACTTTTCCCATGCTCTTCTGTAGCTGATCATTAACAGTTGCAAGATTTCTGTAATCACTCCTAAGCTGCTCTTTCTCCCTCTGCAGAGTATTATAACGACCTTGCAATGCTTCTTTGTCGGTGGACAGTGATTGGTATCTGTTCTGAAGTAGGTTTTTGCTCTGGGTCAGATTTGAGTAGCTTTTTTGCAACTGGTCCTTGTCACTATTCAGTGAAGAGTAACTCCTCTGCAACTCATCCGCTTTTGTCTTCATCGTGTTAAACTGTGTCTGCAACTCTTCCTTTCCTCTTTGAAGTTCATGATAGATTGTGTGCAACTGATCTTTTTCTTTTGTCAAGTTACTCAATGTGGCCTCAAACAGTTTTCTCTCTGCAGCTGAAGCATTAGAGGTTCCCTGCAGCTGATCTGCTCCAGTGTTGTAACTAGCCTGCATCATGTCTGCTGACTTGATATGGCTGAATATGTGATCTGTGAAATGAAAAAAAAGTCTGACATTTTTTAGATTATTGGGATTGTTTAAAAAAAAGACATTTACCTCTCTTATGCACACTTTTTAAGTTGACCTGTTATGCTAATCCCCATTTAAAAACACTATAGTGTTACAATTATGGATGCCTACTAACACTAGAACTATACTCCATACTAAACATGGGTAAAGTTTGAGATCATGAGGTAAACACATGTTTGAGTAATCCCAGGATGTGCCTGCAGAGTGCGCTAAACAACTTGTTCTGCAAATCACGCGATAGTTCTCGGATATGAAACCAAGAAATTCACAATAAGGCTTTAAACCTCTATGAAAGCCATCTGAACCTTTTACATTGGCTCGCTTCTCCCAGCACTGGTGAGCAGCCCTGCCCTGGCAGCCCCTAGGACGCCCATAAGGGGGGGAAAGGGGAAGACTTTCTGACGCCCAGACACATGGAGGGCACCATTCAAGTTACGTAAAACATTGTCCATCCTAAATTTAAGCAATGACAACCACTTTTTAACCAAAAGACTCACCATTTTTAATGCAAAAAAGATACACATTTTATCTATCGTTGCCTGTATCAAAATGTAATCCCCTTTTCTTGAAATTGAATCAGCTTGAGCCTTTTTTTTTTTTTTTTGCGTTGTTAATTTAATTGAACTTTAATGTTGGGCCAGTAATTTTGACTGTTTATAGCCAAGGAGCTGCACAACAGCCCGGAAACAAGAAAAGAAAGAGGAAGCTAATTTGACCCCAACAAGAACTACTTTTTTTTCACCTCCAAATTCTGATCGGAGGTAGCCTCAGAAGGCAAATTGTTGCCAGGAGGCTATAGCGCTTATGATCCAATACATATGTATTCGTATTATTAAATTATATGGGCAGATTGCCCAGCTATTTCTGTGGGCGAGCCTAGGCAGTGCTGCAGCGTTCTGCCCCCGAAAGGCTTCTAGAGAGCTAGCCAATCATTAGAAAGTGGGGTGGAACTTAAAGAGATGGCAGCTTAACTAACAGTTTCATGCAGAGTCTGAAATGAGGGGTTTTACTGACGCTAGTATAAAGTACAAGATTTTTTTTAATGCAAATCATGCAAAGCTGACTTCTAGGTTTATATGACTGGAAGAGGAAAATGAGAATAAAATGGGATCTTTAAACATGAGCTCCTCTTGGATTAGTTAATCTTAAAGACTTACAGTAGAGAAATTGTCCTACGTTTCCAGCCAACAGGACAGCGCACAGTAATCCAAGTCCCACGGAGACACATCTGGAAGGAGGGTTTCTTCTCTGAAAATCAACTGTACCGACAATAAAAAGACAACTAAATAATCCATAGGGACAGAGTTGCCTCTTCATCAAACTCTCCAAAGAAATTAAACACTCTAGAAAAACTGTTTATGAGCATACAGGCAAGTAGATGAAGTTATAAACGTTTTTCCAAGTTTATCAATACATTTCTATCCAAACTCACATCGTTTACACATCTGAATACTTGTGCTCATTACTCTTGATGTTGTGTCTTGTAATGTGTTTTCAGGTTGATACGTTACCTTTAGTCACAAGACCCTCCGTGGTGAGGTTCCTCTTCATATGTATGCTGTCATCGATCTCCATCAGATCCATTGTGATAACCGTCTCATTGTTTTCCAGTCAAGAAGTAAACTTAAACATGTTTGTAATCAGTTAACTATAAAATGATGAGTCTAAACACTTCACTCATACAAATTCTAGTTATAAGACCCATTATTCTTTGCTTTCTTGTGCATGCCTCAGTTTTAACTTAAAAACGTGGATTAACGTAAAATGGGACATTTACAGTATGATACTGTAAAATGTGATTTGTGAAGTACAAAAAATTAAGCTTACTCGAGGTAAGTTTTTGAGAATTAAAGGAATCATTTAAAACGCACTCAGAATAAAATCTAGGATGAAAATGAATTCTAGTTTGGGTAAAATATTCTTTAATTCAAGTGTAATAAAGTCACCAAATGTGTACTTACCATGAATCAAAGGAGATAGAAAGGAGTCCGTATCACTTCGGTTTTAAAACGAACATCACAGACGTGAATGATAACGCAGAGATATTTATTGTGCACATAAAAAGAAGTTCCTTTTGCCCAAGTCATCAAATGTTTGACTTAAAATGAACTCTGATTGGTCTGAAAAATAACCATTCAGATGTACTGTATTAACATTCTTGGTTTCAGTATTTCAGGTAATTTTTGGCCACAAGAAACAAGTGGGAGTTCACCAGTTATCACACGGAGGTTTTTTAGCTCTCAGGCTCCAGTCCTTTATCTTCTGCTGTTTCTGTTTCTTCTTCCCACAGATTCACTTCCCACTGAGGTCAAACAGGACAGTGACAGAGTTACAGGGGAGACGGATCTGTAGGGTGTTAACCAAAAATCTCTTTTAGGATTAAAAGTTCAGCTTACTGTGCATTAACAGTGCAATAAAGCTGGTTTTATTGCAGGCCTCACATGGGGCACCATTTGTTGGGGTTTTATCTAGTCAACTTCGGTTATATTCTTTAATAATTAAATTTAATTATTATTAATATAAATAACAATATCATTAAACTGTGTTTAATCAACTTGGGTGCACTACCCTGAAATCAGGGAAATATAAGCAAAATATCGTTAAAATCAGTCTCAAATTAGTAACTTGATTACTAATATCAATAATAATGAATAACTGTATTTAATAAATTGAAGGCGTGAAATCCGTACACAAAGCCCTCGCACCCAGCTTATATCACAATGTAAATACACCAGTAATCACAAACAACTGCTCTCTTAAATTATAACAGAATTTATTTAAACAAAGCAACATCAATCCAAAATCAATGAACTTAATCAAACAAATAACTATTATAAACTAATCTAAGCAAACAAACATGATCAAGCTCAACTTGTGAATGAGGTGTAAAAGTGTAGTTGTGTGTGTGTGTGTGTGTGTGTGTGTGTGTGTGTGTGTGTGTGTATGTGTGTGGGGAAAGAGAGAGAGAGAGAGAGAGAGAGAGAGAGAGAGAGAGAGAAAACAAGATGGTGGAGAGAGACACGTGGACAAAATGGTGGACAACAAAGGAAGCCGTGTGGCTGCCTTTTGAAATAGTTTGAGCTCTCTGAGCTGAGTTCAGTAACTGTTACTTAAACACCAGAAAGCCAGTGGCCGGACTTTGATTCATCGGCAGGTACACTGTTCTTTCTGTTTGTAAAAGCCGTTGACTGAAGGTAAACTAGCATAGCATTACACACATAGGTGAACACGGCGGTTCATCACAATAAAACAAATGCAGCAGCTTACAACAGATAATAAACAGAATGTGACGTCTTGTCAATAATGATGCATAATTATCAGTGGTTATAAAAGAAAAATAACTATTTCTGCCCAGACCAAAGCTCTTACTTGGGGTAACTCCTGGTGATCATTGCAAAGTTGGTTGGATCTTCACCCTGTTGAATATTAAATCAACAGATTCAGGCAGGTTTCCTTCATTGCAGATGTAGGAGGAGGGTAGCGGGATTCCGATATTCGACCAGAGCACTGCTCTGTGGTCTTCTGGTTATAGGAGCCGAGTTCTTTATGTGTCTTTGTGAATTCAGGGATCAGTGGGCTTTCTTCAGCGCTCCTGTCCAGTTGTGTTCAATGACGTCTTACGAAAAATCAAAGAAAATAAACTCTTCTTTTTGCTCAAACCTGATAGCATCTGATTGCGCCAAAAACTCCTAAAAATATGCTTTGGAAGTAGTCAGCTGAATCCTCTGATGCTTGAATTCAGCATGTGAAAAGCTACCTAGACTGAGCAACCTCAGCTCTGGAGTTTAATGTAAGTCAAGAGCAGGAAGATTGCCTCCTCAAATGCTGTAGTCCATCTTGTTGGAGAGTGTATCCTCTGATGTAGGCAGTCCACACTTGAAGAGGGTGGACAATGTGATGCGATTGCTTTTACACTGGAACTGCCTGTGAGTTTACCTCAGGCCTCCTCCAATGAGGATGGAGAATTCGACATTTCTATACAGCAGCTTTGTTTTTAAAAATAATTATCTCTGACCAATGCTACAAACCTATGCTAACCCAGCTGTTAATTGGGTTTGAATGGATTATAGTAGGTGTGCAGACAAATGATTTAGCCTGCTATTGGCTTAAGAATTAACATTGTGTCAGACTCGAGGTGGCAGCATGCCTGCTCGTATGTTTGTGTGGGTCAACACGAGGTCTTTTCAAATCACAAATATTTTTAGGTTGAAGACATGGGCTTTGGCTTTGTTTTTTGTTGTTCTTTTAATCCAGTTTATAATTGTACTAACATTCTAATATGAAGTTATGTTTCACATAAAGAAAAATACACACATTCATCTGTTTCTGCCTTGAACTCTTTAGATGCCTTATATCACAGTGCTCTTCGTTTTATCACAGGCGACAGATTTCGAACGCATCATTGTGACCTCTATCGATCTGTAGGCTTGGTCAACAAAGAAAGCAGCACAGTATTTTGTTTATTTACAGGGCACTCATTGGTAAACTCCCTTCTTACCGGACTAATCTCTTGTCTATAAACATTTCTAGCCATACAACCAGGTCTCAAAACTGGATCACTTTGAAAATATCGAGGTCTAGGACTGAATGGGGAAAGACTGCTTTTAGTGTTGCTGCACCCAATATGTGGGATAACTTTCAAAGGACGGCTAAGCTGTCCTCTCTTGTTTCATACAACGTTTTTTAAAGATCTAGTGTCTGAACTACTTAGGGAAGGAAATTGCAACTGTTTTAAAATGGGAAATCTTTGAAATGTACATGGTTTGTATGTTTATATTTGTGCTGTTTTAATTTTTTGTATTGCTTGCCAGGCACCCCTGGAAAAGAGACCTCGGTTTCAGTGGGTCCTCCCAGCTAAAAGAAAGGATACATAAATAAAAATAGCCACTGACTTGTTAACACTTTGTTTAAACACGGCCCGTTGTAAGCAGAATCTTCACAGTTGATTATGTTTAAAACCTGGTATAATGTGTTTTTAATCATACAGTTTTGTTACATACAGTAACAAAGTCTCTAGTATTCTTGTTTAAACACAATCTCCTGATAAACCACCTTGAATAGAAAACTATCCAAAGTGTCTGACCAGCCAACTAAAGCTCACAAAGTGACAAATAATCATTTTGATCTGTTCCAACATTTCTTTAATCTCTGTAACTCGTGCACTGCGCTCATGAAAATGTCCCCTCTTGTCAAGATGGGGTGTGAACACGATCGCTGACACCATTGACACCGTTTTTTGTGGGCTTTTTCCTAACAGCTCAGAAGTAAAAAAGAGTCAGCCTGTTTGTCCTGAAATTGTCCTGTCAGGAGTTCATATGTGAAAGGGCTTTAGATTCACTGTCATGACTGTTTATGAAGAATATACCAATGTCATTTATATATAGCAGTGCATGCTTTAATGTATAAAGAGTAGGTATCAATCTCTTCATTTGTAGATCTCACATATACAGCCCCTCCGGATAATCTCCAGAGTTTTTCAGGAGATATCCGTATGTGGGAAAAGGGTTTTAGTCATGAATTAGGATTCAGGTTTCCCACCAGTCTACCTTATCTTATGAAATGTAAGAATGCAAAAGTGTCATGTAATGAAAAAACAAGGAGGGTACTTTATTAATGCCAATGGGGGAAATTCAGTTTTACTCTATGTTGTAAAACATGCTACACACACATAGGCTGAAATACACACATGCACAAACAGGATCCTATGGACATGTACTAATGAACTGACAACAAGTGTGAAGGTACTCTGAAACTAAATAGACACACAGGTGAGACTAACTCATCATTATTGTTTATCTTTAATCCAATTCGTTATTGTGGATCTTTAATCCATTAACATGCATTCAGATTCACCAAACAGATGGAAATGTGCAACATTAAGATTTGCCAAAGGCCACAACATATTACAGTATCAGGACAAGTCATTGATAGCAAAATCTGTTTTGTACAACATAGCCATAGATTCATTGGAGCAAACAGAAATCATCAGCAAAATGTTCAATATATGAAATCATTAACAGGGTACTGCATCAAGGTTTACTTGTTTTGAATTAATAAAGCAAATACTTCAGGATTTGTCTGTCTGTAGACTAAAATGTGATGATTTGGATAGAGATGTGTAAATGTAGTCAGTTATCTTTATATTACAGGGATATCATTTTTCACAGACGCAGACATTTGAAGTAGAACACTCTTCTTCGTACCACTCTCCAGATGGACTTTTGTGCCGCATTTCTACACAATCCTTGTTCCCGACGGAACTGTTGGAAGCCGGCGAGTGTCTGAAGTGCAACATATCAGAGAAATCAACTGTGTATCCTTTCTCATGTTAGACATGTTGTTACTGGCCTAAAGGGTAATTTATATCGCACACAAAAAAACTAGATAATCAAATGACAAAAACTCAAAGGAGGCCACAGACTGTCAGTCATTTACTGCTGTTAAATGTCCTAGTCCAAACAGGTTGAATTTCCTACAGAAACAAACTTACGTAGTCCCATCCACCCACTTCCAGGTCCCCTCTGTAACGCTGTCAGTCAGACCAATCCAGGCCTCTACGCCAGATCCCATTAACTCATTGACAAATACCTGTTAACAGAACACACACAAGAATGATCAACACTTAAATGCCCATCCAAAAATGTCAAAATGTAGCCATTACAAAAGGTTTGTTCTACTATCACATCTGTTTCAGAATTCCTGTTAGGGAGAACTTCATGTTTCTACATAACACAGATTCATAACAGGAATATAAAAACTGCTGCAAACCTGAAAGTGTTTAATGCAGAATAAGGACTAAATGTGTTTTAACCACCTCCATCAGCCATTTACAAACTGTATGTTAAAACCTGTAATATACAACAAACGGTTCAGACCTGCATTGATCACAAAACGTGACTGAATGCTATTTTAGTTACCCAACACAAAGCAGCAGCGTGAGCTGTCCTTAAAAAAGCAGTTCTAACAACACTATGTTGAAGTCCATGCCTCTAAAGAGATAGCTGATAGACTTTCTTAGAATATTACATTATTTTTCCAACTGTTATTTTTTCAAGTAATGCAGTTTATGGCACAAGAACTCCTTATACTGATCATTATGTTTCACCTGATTGAGTTCTAACAAAGTGAATTCTGTCCTATTAGCATGTTTACTTCTTATTGCTAAACTGTCTCTGCTCCATTCATTCTCCACCACAACACATCTTTATTTCTTTCTCACCTGTTTATCCGTGCCTTTTAGGATGACCAGATCAGCTCCTTGGGTGTTGCAGTAGTCTCTGCTTGCAGTCCAGTTTCTCTTTCCAGCTGTTAGATAGTAACAGTTGTCACCAAACTTTTTCCAGGCTGCTTGACAGGGCCTGCCTATAAATTACAAACACAGAGAGGTTCAGAATCTTACAGTTGATGAATAATAAATCACTTTCAAGTTAATGAATTCAACTTTTTTTGATAAACATCTTACCTAGTTTGTTAATCTCCTTCTTTAAATGATCTTTGACTGCTGATAAACTCCTGTAATTGGTCTTTAACTCGTTTTTTTCCCTCTGCAGAGTATTATAACTACCTTGCAATGTGTCTTTGCTTTTTTGCAACTGGTCATTGTCGCTCTTCAGTGAAGTGTAACTCCTCTGCAGCTGATCCCTGTTTGTACTCATTGTGTTAAACTTTGTCTGCAAGTCATTCTTTTCTCTTTGCAGGTTGTCACGATTCTTCTGCATGTCATTGTAGTTTGTTTGTAGCTGATTCTTCTCGTGTGTGAGGGTGTTTAAACTTTGCTGCAGTCGGTCTTTTTCTTTCGTCAGGTCACCTCTTACTTTGTCGATATTCTTCGCTAGTTGGTCTTTTTCTGTAGCTAAACTTCTGTAATTTGTCTGTAGCTGATCTTTCTCCCTCTGCAGAGAATTATAACTGACTTGCAATGTTTCTTTGCTTTTTTGCAACTGGTCCTTGTCACTCTTCAGTGAAGTGTAACTCCTCTGCAGCTGATCCCTGTTTGTTCTCATTGTGTTAAACTGTGTCTGCAAGTCGTTCTTTTCTCTTTGCAGGTTGTCACGATTCTTCTGCATGTCATTGTAGTTTGTTTGTAGCTGATTCTTCTCGTGTGTGAGGGTGTTTAAACTTTGTTGCAGTCGGTCTTTTTCTTTCGTCAGGTCACCTCTTACTTTGTCGATATTCTTCGCTAGTTGGTCTTTTTCTGTAGCTAAACTTCTGTAATTTGTCTGTAGCTGATATTTCTCCCTCTGCAGAGTATTAAAACTGACTTGCAATGTTTCTTTGCTTTTTTGCAACTGGTCCTTGTCACTCTTCAGTGAAGTGTAACTCCTCTGCAGCTGATCCCTGTTTGTTCTCATTGTGTTAAACTGTGTCTGCAAGTCGTTCTTTTCTCTTTGCAGGTTGTCACGATTCTTCTGCATGTCATTGTAGTTTGTTTGTAGCTGATTCTTCTCGTGTGTGAGGGTGTTTAAACTTTGTTGCAGTCGGTCTTTTTCTTTCGTCAGGTCACCTCTTTCTTTGTCGATATTCTTCTCTAGTTGGTCTTTTTCTGTAGCTAAACTTCTGTAATTGGTCTGTAGCTGCTCTTTCTCCCTCTCTAGTGTATTATAACGGCCTTGCAATGCTTCTTTGTGGGTGGACAGTGATTGGTATCTGTTCTGAAGTAGATTTTTACTCTGGGTCAGATTTGAGTATCTTGTTTGCAACTGGTCCTTGTCACTCTTCAGTGAAGAGTAACTCCTCTGCAACTCATCCCCTTTTGTCTTCATCGTGTTAAACTGTGTCTGCAACTCTTCTTTTCCTCTTTGAAGTTCATCATGTTTCTTCTGCATGTCATCATAGATTGTCCGCAACTGATCTTTTTCTTTTGTCAAGTTACTCAATGTGGCCTCAAACAGTTTTCTCTCTGCAGCTGAAGCATTAGAGGTTCCCTGCAGCTGATCTGCTCCAGTGTTGTAACCAGCCTGTATCAGGTCTGCTGATATGGTATGGCTGAATATGTGATCTGTGAAAGAAAAGTCTCACGGGTTTTAGATTATTGAGATTGTTTAAAATAACAGTTAAAAAGGAGAAAGAAAGAGTCAACTGGGTACACTAGGATACAGATAAGATACAGATTTAGCCTTTGTACAACCAGCTAACCATGAGAACAAGTCTGTTGCTGAACCAATCATGACTTGGTGGCTCTCTGAAAATTGGTGAAGTTCGCAGTAAGCTTCAAGTGATCAGGTAGTGAGTTCCAGGATTTTACTCCTTTCACAGAAAAAGCTGTTTGAGCAAAAGATGTTTTGCAAAATGAAACTTTACAGTTGCCACTTGAAGCTGCTCTGCTGCAGCCCTGCAGTCTCTGTACGTATCTGCAGAAAGGCTGAGGAGCAAGTCCGTTTAAACATTTAAACACAAGCTTTACATAATGGAAGACAGTCAAATTTAAACCTTGTATTTACTTAAAATGTGACAGTGATGGTGTCTTCTTGTTTTTTTGTCTAGAATTTCCAAGGCCCAGTTGTAAAGGCTCTCTACAGAATTCATAACTGACTGGTTGATCTGAGATCAGAGAGTTAAACCATAGGACAGGTGTGAAACTATCATAGTATATAAAAACAGGAGGAACAGGTGTCAGACTGTTTCTTATCATCCTAAAACAGAAAAGATTGACAGATGCTAGGAGTTTGACAGATCTTTTTAACATGGCTTTTAAAAATTAGTTGAGAATCTAAAATTATCCCCATATACCTCAACTCTGTAACTTGTTTGATAAGTTCACCTTTAATTTTAACATTTAGCGGTTCTGTTTCCGGTAACTTTTTAATGGAGAAACAGATTGATTGAGAAGGAGACTAGTAAGCCGTTGGAACCTCTTACATAGGCTTTCTTTTCACCTCACAATGCTGATCGCAGGTAGCCTCAGAAGGCAAATGGTTGCCAGGAGGCTATAGCAGTCTTGATCCAACACACACCTATTCGTATTATTAAATTATATCTGCAGATTGCCCAGCTATTTGTGGGGTGGTGGAACTCAAAGAGATGGAGAAATGAGGGGTTTTTACTGACGCCAGTAAAAAATAATAAGCATTTTTTTATGCAGATCATGCAAAGCTGATTTATAGGTTTACATGACTGGAAGGTGAAAATGAGTATAATATGGGATCTTTAAACATGAGCTCTTCTTGGATTAGTTAATCTTAAACACCAGGTGGTAGTTGCTAAATATAAAAATAATATTCAAAGTGACAACACAGAAATAACTTACAGTAGAGAAATTGTCCTACATTCCCAGCCAACAGCACAGCGCACAGTAATCCAAGTCCCACGGAGACACATCTGGAAGGAGGGTTTCTTCTCTGAAAATCAACTGTACCGACAATAAAAAGACAACTAAATAATCCATAGGGACAGAGTTGCCTCTTCATCAAACTCTCCCAAGGAATTAAACACTCTAGAAAAACTGTTTATGAGCATACAGGCAAGTAGATGAAGTTATAAAAGGTTTTCAAGTTTATCAATACATTTCTATCCAAATTCACATGTTTTACACATTGATGTTGTGTCTTAAAGTCTGTTTTCAGGTTGATACGTTACCTTTAGTCACAAGACCCTCCATGGTGAGGTTCCTCTTCATATATATGCTGTCATCGATCTCCATCAGATCCATTGTGATAACCATCTCATTGTTTTCCAGTCAAGAAGTAAACTTAAACATGTTTGTAATCAGTTAACTATAAAATGATGAGTCTAAACACTTCACTCATACAAATTCTAGTTATAAGACCCATTATTCTTTGCTTTCTTATGCATGCCTCAGTTTTAACTTAAAAACGTGGATTAACGTAAAATGGGACATTTACAGTATGATACTGTAAAATGTAATACAACTCTGCAGGTCATATCATTTGCTAGTAATATGCTTAAATAATATCTTATAAGTGATTTGTGAAGTACAAAAAATTAAGCTTACTCAAGGTAATCAAAGTTTTTGAGAATTAAAGGAATCATTTAAAACGCACTCAGCATAAAATCTAGGATAAAATATTCTTTAATTCAAGTGTAATAAAGTCACCAAATGTGTACTTACCATGAATCAAAGGAGATAGAAAGGAGTCCGTATCACTTCGGTTTTAAAACGAACATCACAGACGTGAATGATAACGCAGAGATATTTATTGTGCACATAAAAGGAAGTTCCTTTTGCCCAAGTCATCAAATGTTTGACTTAAAATGAACTCTGATTGGTCTGAAAAATAACCATTCAGATGTACTGTATTAACATTCTTGGTTTCAGTATTTCAGGTAATTTTTGGCCACAAGAAACAAGTGGGAGTTCACCAGTTATCACACGAAGGTTTTTTAGCTCCAGTCCTTTATCTTCTGCTGTTTCTGTTCCTTCTTCCCACAGATTCACTTCCCACTGAGGTCAAACAGGACAGTGACAGAGTTACAGGGGAGACGTTTCTGTAGGGTGTTAGCCATGTAGCCAATTTCAAAAATGCCAACCCAGCAGTGTGCAGTTCAAAAAAACACTATAGTTCAAGAACATGCATATTTAGTGCATTAAGCATCTTAAGTCCTTCTTTTGGTGAAATCAATGTTTCTTTAGGATCAAACCCTCTTTGGGTAACACCTCAGGTCACAGTATTCACCATTAACTACTTATTAGCATGCTAATTGGTAGCATACTGGCTGCTTTCTATTTATTTTTAAGTACTACCTTATTCTACATGACCATATTCTATACCTACTAAGCTAAATTATGTCATACACAACACAGAATGTCAAACTTTGAATTGTTTGGGATTGCTCCACCTGATTGTGACAAGATTCCAAGATAACATTTCTATACAGCAGCTTTGTTAATAAAAATAATTATCTCTAACCAATGCTACAAATGTGCCCAGCTGTTGAATGGGTTTGAATGGATTAAAATGCTGAGATAAGATGAAGTGAAACAAAACAGCAGAAAATGTGTCATTTGTCGACATTTTCAATATGACAGAAACGGTTGTCATGTTGATGAGTGGCGGACCTCCGAGCAGTTTTCTGCTGCATCAGACTTCAGATGAAGAAGACAAAAACGTGTCAGTCAGGGCAGCTTCTGTTCTTCAGTATTCTGTCCCTTGTGTAGTGCCAGGGTCTTAGTAGTCAGCTGTTGTAGTGGGACTGTCAACTACCCCTGACCCCTGGCAGACTGAACTGTTTGAACTGCTGCACAAAGAGTAGGCTGACCGTTGATTTAAGGTTTTCTTGTGCTTGATTTCTCGGTCCATCAATTAACGTCTGGTGGTGAGCTGAGCTGTAGAATTTTTCTACGTCAAAGCACAATCTTTTAAATCATTGATGTGGATATTATAAATGCAGCACTATCTCCACTTTATAAAACAAGCTAGCAAGCTCTGTTGAGTGAGACGAGCGAAAGGAAATCAAAGAACAGGTTCCTGATAAGACACTGCCAGCGCCTTAGCCCCAATCCCACATACTCTGTGCACGCTGCAGTCCGTCATTGCCACAGTTTTAGCAACATGTGGCTTTTGTTGGGATTTTTCTTATTGGGTTGTTCGCATGGCTGTTCGTATACTCAGAAACAATTGAATCTAGCTGATTTTGTCGCTAACACTGCTAGAGGACTGAGGAGACGCCGAGGACATTGCTTGAATTCCGACTCTTGCTGAAGGTTTGAGTGCCTGTCTGGATGCATCATATTTAAACTTATTAGCTTTTTTTTAAATTTTTTTTGTTTAACTTATTTGAGATAAGAAACCTTTCCTAAATTGAAAATGAAATGAAAGTTAAATCGGTTCATATAAGGATGATTTGATAATCATCATGATTTGATTTGCACGCAACACTCAGCAGGGCAACGAGGCTGAGTGCTGTCAGATGGGGCCCCCTCAGAGAGGTTTGTATTGACGAGCTACTGTCATTGCAAAATTTGCAAATTGCTTTGGTTTAAGTGTGTGAGTCCTCAGGTGCCCCCTACTGGTCTGGGGCCCACCAAGCAGAGGCCTGCCTTGCCTATTGACAAGCAGCTCCTCTGCTTCAGTTAAGAGGGTACTTTGTCATAAACCAACGATTTTAACAAATCTAAACTGTTATAAGGGATGAGGAGACAAAAGCTCAACCAAATGATTGGAGTTCATTATCGATGGATTATGAATGTCTGTACAGTGTGAGGGAATGCCATCAGTTATGAATTGAATCCCTGATCAGGCAAGCACAGCTTAATTGTGATTTGATCGTTGAATATACCGCATCACAATCATCATATTATGCTTTGTTTATGCTTTTATTTAAAATAAGTAAAAGGTTAGACTCTACCACTTCTATGACAGCTGTAACTGTAACTGAGCTCAGCCATTCACAAACTGATACAAATTCAGCTGACTGTCAACATGGGTCTATTTTTAGAAGCCGGACTGAATTCCTAATCACCTCCAGGACTCCTGAATGAATAATGAAGGACTCTTATCATTAATATATTTCCACAAAACCATCCGTTCAGAGCAACCTAAACATTTTGGTTACATTTCGATGTCTGTGAATCACAACCACAGCGAGGGCTGATTGTGTGTTTTTTTTTTTGTTACACAGTAGTTTGTGACCTCAGTGACTATTATCATGCAGACGTATACACCTCCTATCTGAGCTTAAAGAGGCGCTGAATGAGGAGGTGAAGCTGCTGAGTGTCTGACGGAGATAAGGGGAAATGACTGTGGCTGAGAGGCTCCATCCTTCAGCCTGTCACACCTCACACTGCCCATATTAATTAGCCTCAGTAACTCAGGATCTGATCTGAAACGGCCGCTTCAGGAAGAAGGAGGAGAGGACTTATCGGCATCTAAACATCCTGCAATCTCTACACGATAACAACACAGGGTATGTGTGTCACATGAGGAAAACTTATTCATCATTAAGATAGATTGGTCAAATTATGCATCTTTCAACTTAAATACCATAAAATATACTGCAGATCTCATCCAACGGTCTTGTGTGCCATTCAACGTTGGGTAATTATTTCATCACTGTCCACACAAGAATTATGTTTTCAAATGTCTGATTTTCATTAATTCTGTTACATGCAATTCAAATATTAAATAAGGTCTATTATTTTATCACGGTGTAAAATGTTCGCTGATTACAAATTGTGCATCACATTGGTTTATTTTATGGGAATATTTTATCTATATGCACCTACTCTGACATAAAGCTATTGGAACAAATGTAAAAATAATAAATGTGATGTTGATATTCAAATTTGACCTTACTGAGACTTTTTTTACTTTGTCTATGTTTTTTTTAAATGAATTCTTATTCACAGGTATACTTGATCTTGTATTGCGTTTTTGTACTCAACTATTCAAAGCGCTTTTACACTACAGGTCATACCTACCAATTGATACCCGTTCACACACTGATTGCAGAGGCTGCTTTGAAAAGTGACCATCAGAATTAACTAATCCCATTTAGACATATTCACACTCTGCCAATGAAGCAGCGGGAGCAACTTGGGGTTAAGTGTCTTGCCCAAGGACACATTGGACATGTGGCTGCAGGAGCTGGGGATCAAACTGCCAATCTTCTGGTTAAGAGACGACTGACCCTGCCAACTAAGCTACAGCCACCCCCTAAATGCTTGACTTCATGAATGGAAGACCATGTATTTGTACTTTTCATTTGAAAAATGAATATTTTTTAGTGCAATTCCTTGATGCAAAAAGAGCTCAAACATTTCCATACAAAATCAAAGTAATTAAATAAAAAGCCGAAATACATTTTTCTTTAGTAAGGGTTCATCAGTGTTACCACTACTGCTTTTTTAATGGTAGTGTTTGTGTGGTTGTTTCTGGTGGTGTGCAGTTTTTAACACATCACAAAACATATTGTGAGAGAGGAGAAAATACTTTATGATTCTAAATAATCATATGTTTAAAAAAAAAAAAAAACCTGAGCCACGTTTCCATGCAAATTTTAAACAGAATTCTCAGATAACATACAATAGGAAGCACAACTTCCTTTTTTTTTGCATGTTCCCATCATTCTGCTGTTGTGCAAAAAAATGGGAGATGCTTTATCAAGATGAGCAATAAACTGTGCTTTTAATTCAGTCAGGCTGTTGCAGAGTGCTGTTAGACTTTGGCAGAATAAGAGTAATGAAGTGAGGTTATTAAAAAAAGAGGTAGTCAAACCAAAAAACAGTGCTTAATCATTTCATAAATATATTTTTTAAAAGTGGTACATCTGTTTGTTGTTTAAGACTGTTACTGGGACATTGCTGGGATTGATTTAGAAAATGGGACAAATGAGATGTTTGACAACTAGCCTCTGGTAAAGAAGGAATCTGACTTTTGTGATTAGTGTATTTTATAATGTAGGATGTGCTTTGTTGTTTTCCCTTTTGGCCTATGGAGAGAGAAAACAGTCCTTAAAGATTGTTAAAATTTAATTGTGCTAAATTTTCTGTCGCTGCAAACGTTCTGCATCTTTGCGTGACTCGGATAGTCACAGTATTTTAAGGTTAAATGCTGCCTGTATGAATTTTCATACACTATACCTCATGTTAATCCTCCCAACCTTAAAGGCTCATCTGTATCACACATTGATGTTAAAGCTTTGACATGCAGATGAGGCCTCACAGATCACATTTCAGAACAAACCAGGGGCTTTTAAAAAAAAAAATCTATCACATTAGCTCATGACTTAAGAGGCAAAGCCCTCCAATGCCGCCCTCCCCCCACAAGGTGTTTTAGTTACAACCTTGAGATGAGAGTGTACAGGTCCTCGGGGAGGCACTGGAGGAGGGGTCGTTATCATTTTTGGCAGTCCTCCCGTGTAAACCCAAAGGCCCTCCTCCATATTCATCAGGGGTGATTATGTGCTGACCTCCGCCTGCCGTTAATCCTGAGCTGATGTATGCCCAGCAGGCAAGCATCATGGGAGTGGGGAGGCAAGCAAAACCTGACACTGCGGCCAATTAGGTGTCTCCGAGGTGAGAGAGTGAGAGAGAGAGAGAGGAAGAAAATATTGCATTCATATCTCAGGCCTCATTATAAATTTTTTATTACGATGGCGGAGATGGATTTTATTTCTGTGCTTTTAATACTAACTACGTGTTTACTGGTAACCACA